CCCACCTGGAGCTCCTCCCACCGGACCAGCGCTGACTCGCCGCTGCTCTCCCGCACCGAAGGTAAGTGAAGGAAAAAAAAAACCATAGCGCAAGCATCGGGGCATTTTGACAAGTACAAGTACTTGTCAAAATGCCCTGTTTTTTCTGCCCGCACCCTGCAGCGCCCTCAGGCGGCCCCTTGCCTTGCGGTAGTGCTGGGCCTGTGCCCGAGACATGCAGTTCCGGGTGTCAGGCGGGTACTTGTTTTCTACATTTAGCCCTGCTTTGGGCAAGCAGAGCAAAATGTACAGCTGGGAGGCTGCTGCTTGTTTTGTATGCAGCATGCAGGTCTGCCATGGATGGGGCCTTTTTGTCGGGTAATTTTAAGGAACGCATTAAGGAACCTGGCCTTGGGGCAGCAGAGGGAGTAAATCCGGCCCTGTACGTATGAGCATTAAAAATAAAAATCAATGCCTTTATGGCTTCAACAAGCTTTAGCACAGCGTTAAAGCTGAACTACGGGATAAGCAAATATTGTCCTCATTCAAGAATCATGTATTCTTCTGGAATCTTGGTGAGCTTAGTGTTTTTCTTCCAGATCTGTGCAGTAATCCGATGTGAGGAACTTTCTGTAATAAAGACCAGTGGCTGCTGCTCTCTCCCCCATGTGCAGGGTGACTGGTCTTGTCTCCGCCCTTCGTGTAAGAAATACCGGTCACTGCTGCTCTCTCTCCTTATGCAGGGCGAGTGGTCTTGTCTCCGCCCCTTCCTGTAATAAAGACCGGTCACTGCTGCTCTCCTTATGTAGGGCGACTGGTCTTGTCTCTGCCGCTCCTGTACTTTTCTACAGGCAGCCTGTGGTGGGTGGAGCCTGCTGGGTCCCTCCCACAGCTCTGCTCTCTGCACAGGTTATGTACAGCGCAGGGAAGATCTCACTGCTACTTTTACAAGATAACTAATGTTTGCAAAGGCATTTGATGCACACAAATTGGATTTATATGTCTGTACAAAATAAATCAAGGCAACTGGACTTCGCTGGTCATCCGACCAACTTCCTCAGTTCAGAATGACTTGTACAAAAATTCACTGGGAATAAGTATGGTGAATGTTGCTCCAATCAACATCTATTACTACCATGGGGTCAGAGACCGCATGGAGATAGGGTGTTGGTTGTATTTGCATGATTGGAGCTAGCAGGTGTTATTGACCCGCTCAGAGAGAGGTGTTAGACAGCATTGTATGTGGCAGCCAATAGATGTTTCACCCCCCCCCCCCCACCTGTATTCATCCATAACCTGGATGAATGAGAACCTTCATGGACATATTGGATTTATATCCTTTGTGACTCTTGAAGAATATATTTAAGTGAAATATTTGTGCTATAGGGTGGCAACATTCTGTGCCCATCTCCCAATTGTGCTCCTGTGTTGTCACATTGGCTTCTGGTGGAGACTACAACACGTTACGCTGGCATGGTTTACTGTTGTCACCATCAGGAAACCTACCCTGAGACATGCCATACAGCCATAGCTGGAGTGCACGTATACAGGAAGTGGCTGCAAAGAGACTGCAGTGGATCAACAGCACTGAGTCGTGATGGTAGAAGGTATTGCTTTTCTTCAAGGATACTGTATCGCTATAAGACTATTCTGCAGCTATACGATGGCACAGCAGGCCGAGGTATAATTATTTGCAGGAAGAGTAATGGAAACAGCCATTGCATTGAACTTTTCACCTCTCCCATCTCTTTCCATGAAAAGCCTCCGAGTGGGAGGGCTAGACTCCGCGCTACACATGAATATGCAAATGCTTTTCTCTGACACCGGCTATGTGAATGAAGGAGAAAAATTACCCGGCTTTTAGCAGCCCAGCAGGAAGGAAAATGGAAAAAATTTGGCGGTACATTTTCTGGGTTAGTTAAAGTCTATTAGAGGCCAGATAACAGTATATGTAAACCCGATCACTGGAATCTCAAATAACCTTTCACATGTTGACGCCATTTTATTTAATTTTTTAGATCCACAGCTTCCTTTATAATAATCCCCCGTTGATCCCACCATGGGGGTCTTTGTTAAGGCACTTCCTGTTATAGAGTGTCCTTGTCTCCTAACTGTTCTCCAGCATGGTCATATTAGCTTCTGATGGCGATAAGCAGGGCTGTCCCTACAATGAGGCAGCCAGAGGTAATTGCCTCAGGCGGCATCTATTTGGGTCACATGGGGGGGCCAGCATGGAGGCTCTGCTGCACAATGGTTCAGTGTACCTGCTTCCCACTTTCTGCCCAGAGCGTCCCAGGTTGCTAAGAGCCACATGGGAAGATGTGTAAAGGCCAAGCTCTTAGCAACCTCGCATGTTTTGGCTGGCGTCCCGCCCAGCTCCTGGCAACCAGTAATGTCACTGGTTGCCAGGATCTGGGCGAGACGCCAGCCAGAGCGTTCTAGGTTGCTAAGCGCTGGACGGGGAGATGTGTGCGGCTCTTACACATCTTTTTGCCCCACTGATTGCATGCACCAGGGGCAACCCCCCAACCAACCACCCCCAGCCTCAGGCAGCGAAAAGACCAGGGACACCCCTGGCGACAAGTGACCATTTCCACACACATTACACAGACGTGTTGTACCATTGCGAAAATCAGGAAGCCCTCTCACGGACATGCCATGCAGGCATCATTAGGTTGCATGTAGACATGAAGTACGGTAGCTGCAACGAGGCTCCAGGAGGTCAGTTGCAATGAAAAATGTAAACACAGTAGTTTGCTTATTTGCATGAAGGCAGCCAGGCAGCCCATACATTTGAATCATGAATGTTTCTACATATGTATGGGGCCCTCAGCATGCAGGGTGAAGCAACAGCTTCACTCCAGCAGCGGGCCCCGCAGTTGCTTATACTCACTCTCCCTTTGCTCCTCATGAGCATCATGTGACTTAGACTGCTTCCACCATAAAATGTTTCCAATCACCCCCCCACCATGTACACGCAGATACGTGCACTTCGAGTGTGCTTAAGTGCAAAAATAACTATTGCATGTTAGGTATGGCAGAGCACGTCAGAGTGAGAACATTAATTCTAGAGCCATTATTCACTGTTGTCTCCAAACCGATTACCTGTACAGGCTTTTTTTTTTGTTACAAGTATTTTTATTTGATAAACAGATGGCATGTTTAGGCAATGCTTCCAGCATTGGAGGCGATCCTTGGCCAAAGGTGTGCACATTCCTTTGCCACAGGACCTGTCATAGCTGAACCTTTCATCTCCCCTTTATTATTCACGATCACCTGCATTGTCTTCAAAATACAAGAACACCCCATCCTTTCTTCGGGTACGATTTTCGTTGTCTTATTACCACTGCAGGATGCACTTTTTTCCTAAGTTCAGGTTTTCCTTTTTTAACAGTGGCCATCACCATGTCACCAACACCAGCAGCTGGCAATCTGTTCAGGCGGCCTTTGATTCCTTTAACAGAAATTATGTACAAATTCTTTGCTCCAGTGTTATTAGCACAGTTGATGACAGCTTCCACAGGTAGACCAAGTGAGTTTCCTGGAAAGAGCTACCTGTACAGGCTTTTAAAGCGACACCTATGGACAATTTTGGTTACCGTAGTTTTTTTCACTGGCGCGCCCAATTTTATGGCTTAAGATGTTTGGTATCTATTTACTCGGCACAACCTCCTCTTTTATATTTTACCAAAAAATTTGGTATTATTTGTTGGAAATACAACAGCACACTGATTGTATTACTGACTGCAATTATTAGGTATGGACCGATAGCGGTTTATCGGTATCAAGTACAAGTACCGATATATATTTTTTTGGTACTCGCCGATAACAAATACTGATACCGGAAGACCCATTAAGGAAGCCAGGCGGCGTGTAATGACTCGCCACCTGGCTTCCTGATTAGCCGGGAAGCTGGGCAATGTGTAAAGACTCGCCACCTGGCTTCCCAATCAGCAGGGAAGCCGCCTCCATGGTTCTCGTCACTAGAAAGCATGGAGCCGGCTTTCTGGCCAATCAGAAACCCAGGCGTTGTGTAATGACGAGATGCCTTTCTTCCTGAGTGGCTGGGAAGCCGGCTCCATGCTCCCTCGTCACAAAATCAGAATGCCGGGCGCCGCGTCATTACATGGCGCCCAAGTTCATGATTGGCCAGCTTCCCAACCAACCAGGAATCCGGGCAGCGATTCATTACACGCTGCCCTGGCTTCCTGATTGGCCGGGAAGCCGGCTGCATGCTCCCTTGTCACAAGTATTGGCTAGGTATTGGAGCATTTGGGCAAGTATGAGTACTCGCCCAAATACTCGGCACCGATACCGATGCTGGTATCGGTGCATCCCTAGTAATCATGTATTTTGGGCTGTAGATGGCGATGTAGTGCAATGTTAGTTTTCTATATACATACTTGTCTATGATATGCAGGAAGTTCTATCTGTATATATGTTTCCTGCACAATGCTGTATTCTAATATAACATTCTCCTAAGCAAGTAAAACTTAATTCAGCATTCCTCAAGATCTCAGTGCTGCATCTAAACACCTAACCAACATTATATTGTGTGTGCACTTAAATTAATTTGAGATTATTTTTTTAACTAAAACATGGGTTTTTGTAAAGAGTTGCGCTAATATCGTATGGCATAAAAAATTGCAACTGCTGACATTTTATTCCACTGGGTCTCTGCTTTTAAAAAATATGTAACGTTGGCAGGTTTTAGGTATTCTTCAGGCCTAAATTGTGCACAAATAAAAGGTTAAGGGGACTGTTTATAAATCTTCCCCCCGGGCAAATGCCATTCACACCACATTGCTGGCACTAGATGGGGCCGAGGAGCATAGGAATTTCCAGTGCTCTGTGGCTCCATCTAATGGTGTAAATCACCCAGTTGGGCAGAAAATGTATAAATAGACTCCAATATGTAATAATGTTTGAAGGGTGAATTTCATTGATAGGTCCTCTTTGATGGAGGAATTTCCAAGGAGGTGAAGCTGTGACTCAAGGGTGTCTTTCTGTTTCCTCTGCAGAGGTGGTTGAAGACATATGGCTATCTGCTCCCCTACGACATCCGAGTTTCAGCTTTACATTCAGGAACAGCTATGCAGTCAGCAATTGCAACCATGCAGCAGTTTTACCGCATCCCAGTGACGGGTGTGCTGGACCAAACCACAATCGAGTAAGTACTACGCTAACAAGGGTTTGGGAAGCTGTGTGTTTGACTCAAGTCGGACTCATGTCCAAGCGTCACAGAAGACCATGCTTTGTTGAGTTCCTTCCACACAGGTCCATGGCGCTCACATTTGACCTGCTTTTCTGTGCATTCACATAAGGTTGAAAGCAGCAGAAACAGATATGGAGAGAAGATCCAAAACAGATCAGGCACAGGATAAATAAGAGTGACTCTTCAATAGATAACAACTATCCCGGGTTTGCCAGGACAGTCCTGCATTTTGGCTCTCTGACCCACCAGTGCTGTGTCCCGGCCATGTCCAGGGACCACAGCATCAACCTCCTTTTTTGATACTGCACTAGACATTCATTTTGGGACTGGGGCCGTGAGTGGGCAGTCCCAGTATATTTAGAGGAGGGGTTGGTGTGGGACCAACCAGTACAGTGAGCATGGTGGGTAGTCCCAGGATATTTAGAAGCTGGGAAAGTGGACTTGATATTGGCGTGCCCATATCAGGACAGAGATAACAGTGTCCCAGGATCTGGGACCATAATGTTGGAAAGTATGCTTTTCTTTCCTTATGCAGGGCACAGGGTCATCTAACTCGTCCACTCTCAAGGTGCATATGTCAACCTCTCCTCCTGCGCCGCTTCTTTCTGATGCAGGGACCAGGGAAAAGAAGCACCGTGCAAGCTCTCAAAAAGGTTGTCGGAGCTCCCATAGCGCTATGGTGCTTTTTCCTGCCCCTACAGTATGTGACAGTGCTGGCCCAATCACAAAGCACCTATCTTGGTGCAGGGGGGAGGGAAGTGAGACACACATAGCTTTTGGGTATGAAGGATGCCTAGTATCATCAAGCTCTTTTTATCCCCAGTCTGGCTGTCCCTGGCCCAATCACAAAGCACCTATCTTGGTGCAGGGGGAGGGGAGGGAGACACACATAGCTTTTGAATATGAAGGATGCCCAGTATCATCAAGCTCTTTTTATCCCCAGTCTGGCTGTCCCTGGCCCAATCACAAAGCACCTCTTTTGGTGCAGGGGGGAGGGGAGGGAGGCACACATAGCTTTTGGGTATGAAGGATGCCCAGTTTCATCAAGCTGTTTTTATCCTCAGTCTGGCTGTTCCTGGCCCATCCCTTTCATTCATTGGGTTTCAGTCATGGAGGCTCAGCATCACATGTGGGCATTACCTAGGCAGCCTATCTAGGAATACCCCCCCCCCCTCCAGAAGGACATCCAGCCATTTTGATATTTGCATAACTCCTACCAAGAAAATCTACTAAAAAGCAAATGGGGCTTTTATGGTACCAAACAACAGTTATCATCTAAAAATATATAACCATATAAAGTTTATTTCTTCAACACAATTCACGGTATGCTTTGTGAATAGGAAAACAAACACACATATACACATATAAAGGGGTTTTATCAAAATTTGACTGCAAAACTGGGAACACACTTTAAAGCCATCTTCATTGATGTTGGCTGTGAAGGTAAATCGGCATTGCTTTGTCATGTCAGATAGTAAACTGTGCTGTGTGTTTTTTGTGCTCTGTAGATCAATGATAGCCGTGATGTTTTCTCTTTGTTCTGTAACGGTCATCTAGGTGGATGAAGAAGCCTCGCTGTGGGGTTCCTGACCATCCTCATTTAAGCCATAGAAGAAGGAACAAAAGATATGCACTAACAGGACAGAAGTGGAGACAAAAACACATAACATACAGGTGCGTCCTGACACTCATAACCTTTGTCTTTTTGCTAACATTGCTGGGCATCAGTCTGTCTATAAGGGCCGGCCCATTCACACCACAACGCATGCATTTTTGTGTGTTGAGGCGCGTTGTATTAAGCTGCCCCGCTGGTCCATTATATTCTGATGGCTGTTAGGATACCAGAACAGTGACTGCAACAACATTAATAGACTTTGGAATCTTAGGGGAGAATGAGCTATTCATCCTGTGAAACTAAATGTACATTTGTCCTGTGCGAATGGGAGCAAAAAAAAAAGGATTTAATATATTTTGTTTCCAGGCCGAATGTAATCTATAAGATTGGAGTGAATCAAGAACATACCAAATTATGGCCACTAGATGGAGCTGAGGGTCATAGGATATAAACACTTACTTCCTATGATCCTCAGCTCCACCTAGTGGTCATAATGTGTTTTTTTCCTGATACTGGACCTGGAAAGAAAACATACCAATAACGTTTGTTTCACACAGAGAAATATTTCTCAGGACAAATGGGTCTTAATTTTTTTTTCACAAGTAAGAATTTTTATTGTTTAGAGCCTTGACAATGACAGTTACATAGGCATTAAACACAGCCATGTGATATCCAAAACTGTGTTACAAAGCAATAAACCAAAGAGGGTACAATAACAGTAGCTGAGTGGGACCCAACATGGGAGATCCTATTCCAGTGTACTGGTATCACATTAGTTCACATAGTAGGATGGAAAAGAATACATGTATACCTCAATCGGGTGGGCCAAAGAATTAACAGGTCCCACTAACGCTGCAGGGTTATTATGACCCCTATACATTAGGAAAGGTGTATAGCAGGGAGGGTTTTGATGTCTTACTATCCAAAGGTTTTTTGTTTCTAGTCCGATCTGGTTTGGATATCGGGGATGACCACTGTATATGAGGTGCTATCATTTAAAGCAATGGTAATGTTACACTGTTCAGACATTGAGTTGTAGTTCTGAAGGCAGGCTCTCTGAGAGTTGTGATACAAGGAAGATCATATTCATATTTATATTAAGTTAACAATTGGAGGATTGGTAAGCTGCAACATATTAGATTTTTTGCTTTTGGGTCTATATAAGCTTTAAGGAACTCAAGCACAGAGATCTCACCAACAGAGCCTCCAAGAGACATAAGAAACTGTCAGCATTCACCAGACACTGAAATAAGTTATAGGTAGAGTGACACTTTACCCAGATTTCTTGCAGTGGGAAAGTTGGAATTTTTCACTTTCATTCAGAGGCCACACAAACATTTCCCCAAGGACCTGGCATTTAGAGGTGTGGTCATTTATTTATTAATTGTTATTTATTATAGGTATTTATATAGAACTGACAATGTCTGCAGTGCTTTTCACAGTGCATGTTCGCATCAGTCCCTACCCTTAAGGAGCTTACAATCTAAGGTACCTATCTCACATACAGACACCTAGCAACCGCTCAGTATCTGCAACCCCCCTCTGTCAATCCCCGCACTGGCTTCCAATCGGCCAAAGGATAAAATTAAAAATATTAACAATCACTTACAAAGCCATTCACAATTCAGCCCCAGGTTACATCTCCAACCATGTCTCAAAGTATCACCATAACCGTCACCTACACTCCTCCCAAGACCTCCTGCTCTCTAGCTCCCTTGTCAACTCCTCCCATGCTCGCCTCCAGGACTTCTCTAGAGTCTCCCCCATTCTTTGGAACTCTTTACCCCAACCTGTCTGTCTATGTCCCACTCTGACTGCCTTTAGGCAATCCCTGAAGACTCATCTCTTCAGGGAAGCATATCCGACCTCAACTTAACCACTGAAATATCACTTTCTCAAACAATTCATCCCCACACAGCTCCCTCCTCATGTATCACTTCTCCTTCCCTTTTAGATTGTAAGCCCTCATGGGCAGGGCCCTCCTTACCATCTTGTCTTGAATTGTATTGTGATTGTTATGTCTTCCTTTCTATTGTAAAGTGCTGCGCAAACTGTTGGCGCATATTTAAAACCTGTATAATAACACTAATAATAATTAACCTGCCAGCATGTCTTTGGAGTGTGGGAGGAAACCGGAGTACCTGGCGGAAGCCCATGCAAGCACTGGGAGCACATGCAAACTCCATGTGAATACTCTTCTGGCTTCAATTTGAACCAGGGACCCCCAATGCTGCAAGGCAGAAGCACTAACCACTATGCCACTGTGCTGCCCCATTTATATAGCATTGCCTTTGGGCTGTTCTATGGTAATTCTAGAGTTCAGTGTTCCTCCTTGCTATATATCTCTTTGATATTTTCTTATTCATTGTATTATAGTTTTATAACAAAAACACTTTTCCTTTGATCCTTATAACTTTCTCATTGCTTTGCATGTCTTTCCAGCATACACAACTATACTCCCAAGGTGGGGGAGCTGGACACTAGGAAAGCGATTCGTCAGGCCTTTGATGTGTGGCAGAAGGTGACTCCGCTGACATTTGAAGAAATTCCGTACCATGAAATTAAAAACGAGCGGAAAGATGCAGACATTATGATATTTTTCGCTTCTGGTTTTCACGGAGACAGCTCTCCATTTGATGGGGAGGGGGGATTCCTAGCACATGCCTACTTCCCTGGACCAGGAATAGGGGGCGACACTCACTTTGATTCGGATGAACCCTGGACCCTCGGGAACTCCAATCATGACGGTAGGCACTTCATTATTTTTCCACACCTTCCACCGACTTCTGTGTTTGCAGGGGACTCACCTGTTCCTAGAATCTCCTGCAATAATTAGGAAGTGCAGAAGGTATATGGGAGCTATTTACCTTAAAGAAGAACTCTGGGCAAACTTTTGCTTAACCTTTGCAATGGGGCTGCCAGCTCTTACAGAGCTTCCTGCAGCTCCCGCTCATCTGCTGCAGCGATGGTACGTCCCTCTGCGTCCTCACGTCCTATATACACACAGTGTATTGGACGTGATGAGTTAGGGATCTTAGACTGCTGCAACGAAGAAGGAGAGGCTCCAGGAATGTGTGATTGGCTGGGTGCTGCCACTAATGTTCTTGCCACCCTAAGCTACAGCCGATGTTGGCTATACTGAACTCCACCCTGCCAATCCCCCATCCCCACCACATTTATTTATTTACATGTACATACCCTTTCCAACTGTTTTCTAGCAAGTCACATAATGCAACGAGTCCTATTCTTTTTCTGTTCTTCTCCAGTGTGGGTGGTCCTAAATGACGCAAAGAACGGCGCACCTACTGTATAGTTATGCCACTGCTATTTTCTATATTATCCAATAGAAAGCACAGGCCAGAGTGATGATACACCCCCTAGGGGCCATGTGCATGACAGCCTGGGCTCACAGGAAGTGGGTTGAATGATGCTGGCCATCAGTCAAATCAGAACCCAGAAGAGGAGTGGCAGTGCTGGTGATGAGCCTGCTTCGGGGACAGTGCTGGAAATAAGGTGAGTATTGCAGTGAGAGCTTAATCTTTAATAAGCTTGGGAATTTTATTCATTTGGAAACACGTAAAACTGGAGTTTTGCTTTAAGGCAACATGTCACCATCATTTGGCCATGTAATGGTCAATTTTCTTGACCTGCACTGGGAAGTCTGTTGGTGTAATCTTACCGCTGGAGTCCAGAAATGTACCCCGATATGTCAGCAACCATGACCCACTATTCATTTTCATTGCAATTGTCCTTAAAACATCATTATCTATCTATCTATCTATCTATCTATCTATCTATCTATCTATCTATCTATCTATCTATCTATCTATCTATCTATCTATCTTTCAATCCATCTATCCATACACCTATTTCCAAAGATTTTATCACAGGTTCATCTTCTGTGGCAGGAGGTGGTTCTTACTGGTGCTCATACATCATTCCATCATTTAGTGCAGTAGTAAGTACTCTGAGCCCAGGCTGGCTGATGACCAGGGGTTGGTCCATGAAAACCTCAGAGAAAATAATAGAGCAGACAGCCTTGGAAGAAGTGATATAGATTAACCCAATCACTGGGTTTTTATATATCTTTAGGACTAAGTTCCGAACCCTACTTACTTGGCCATTGTGTGGGAGAACTCAGTCTCACCTTGTGGACTTATTCCCCCAGTAGGAGACGCAATAGCCCTGCGAGGACTGAACCTTGGTAGAGATATTGTATCATTTCTCATGCTGCATCTTCATCCCGCATTATTTTGTTATGTATTTGTCTGCAGGGATCTTTAATTAGTGACAATAACAATAATAATAGCTCTACTCTTCCTCTCTGCTGCAAAACCCACACATCAAAATGTCATTGTTATGAGAAGAACTTATTGAAACTTATTGCACATTACCGGTTCTCCTCACTGGGAAAATAAAACATTGAGAGAATATGGATTCATAGAAACACTGACAAGTACAGCACTCTCGGCAATCCTTCAGGTGCTTCACATAAAGCTCTGGCATTTAAGTAGACTGGAACTTATTTATGAAACCTGGACCAATGTAAATGTAAATGCCCGGAGCCACTAATCAGAGATGAGTTCTCGGTTGGGGTATCTGTAGACGCAGAGCTGTCAGCAGAGGGGTGAGTATTTGGAGCATGTGCTCCCGGTGCAGACATGGTGCAGGCATGCAAAAAAGAGGTTTGTTTAATATTAGATCTTAGCTTAGAGTATATTTTAGGTTACAGTAAGTGACAGGGGTTAAGAGGCTTTGGACAACTATACTTTTTATCCAAACATCCCCAGTCCCCCTCCCTAGCCCCCTAAGCTAAAATGCATCACATTGTGGCCCCTCCAAGTACCTGTGGTAGTCTTCAGATGCGTCCCTGTGCTTCTATGGAGCCCCTTGGATCCTAGTTCCCGGACCTTGACTTTTTTTGCTCCTCTCGCTAAGTGGTGTCCCTTCCTGGTGCTCTGCCCATTGAAGCTCACTACTTGGCTTGCTCATTTTCTCTGAACCCAAAACTATATTTTCAAAAATGTACCTGCATGGGAATCATGGCCCTCTGCTGTTTACAAAGGGATTGAAAGAGGTGAAGGCTTCCATGTGTTACTTCATGATAGGGGATCTCACGTATTTCCATTTTTCTTGAATATTAACTTTTAATTTCCCTAATAGGTCCCTCTTACACATTGTTTGAATTTACACTAATGTCTGACCAATGTTATGTTCTTTACCGCTCTAGGTAACGACCTTTTCCTCGTTGCTGTCCATGAACTCGGTCACGCCTTGGGTTTGGAACACTCCAACGACCCCAGCGCTATCATGGCACCTTTCTACCAGTATATGGAAACGCACAACTTTAAGCTTCCACAAGATGACTTACAGGGAATTCAGAAGATTTATGGTGAGTCTTCTGTACACTGAGCAGCATAAAAAGACAGAAAGATGTTTTTTTTTTTTCTTCTGAAAAGGTGACAGCTCTTCCTGGCCCATCAGCTGTACAGGACAGATTTTTTATTTATGTCTGTGGATGTCATTCATCAGGCAAAATAAGTGACTGAGCACATCCAAAGCTGCTTATCATAGAGGGGAACAGCAGCAATCACACAAAATGATATCCTTTCTGATCAATTGTCAGGCCTATGTTTGTCTGATCAGGCAATCTGTCTTCTCATGCCTTGGGTTGTCTGATCAGTCAACTGTCTTCTGAGGCCTTGGGTTGTCTGATCAGTCTACTGTTTTGTTGAGCGTAAGCTTAAGCTGGCCATACACTGATTGATTATCGTACAAACATTCATAACAAAAATCTCATCAGAACGTTTGATAATGCCATCAGAGACTTGATGAATGGTGTTCGAAATTTTGTTAGATTGTAACATTTTATTTTTGAATGAAGTTCATGGAAACCACATTCACTGTTAGGATTAAAAAAAAAAATTTCCATCCTGCCCCTTTGATTTTTTTTCGCCACTACAGTCGAAATCGTTTGTCCATTTGACACCATTATCTATTCAAAATTGAACGAACGTTCCGAAAACTAATTGTTTCTAACAAAATTCTACTGGTGTATGGCCAACTTTAGGTTGTCTGGTCAGTCTACTGTCTTCTCAAGCTTAGGGTTGTGTAATAGACATGAGCGATTCGTTTTGTTCCGAATCAAAATTCATACAACATTTTCAGAAATTTGGACATTCGGACACATCCGAATTTCTGAATCCCAATGCATCCGAATGTGTCCAAATCCAAATTTCCGTTTCCAAATTTCGGATCCCATCTGAATTTTGTTCTAAAACTAAACTGAATCGGACATGCGACTTTTCTGGCAAATCAGATGTGTTTTTCTGTTTAATTCATCCGAATGGGTCGGAACACCAATTTTCGTTACGGCAACATGGGAGCCATATAAAAGTATATTCATATAATACTAACGCTGAGGCTCCTAAACCCAAATGGCTTTCTGGATCCGAATTTCCGAATTACATTCTGGAGCTCCCGAATGCCATTCGGATCTGCGAGCTTCAGCTTCAGTAATGTATATGGCTCCCAGACCCGAATGGTTTCAGGATCCGCATTTCTGAATTGCATACGGGAGCTCCTGAATGCCATTCAGGTCTGGGAGCCATATACATATAATACTAAAGCTGAAGCTCCCAGACCCGAATGACATTCAGGAGCTCCCAAATGCAATTCCAAAATTCGGATTCCAAATGCTATTCGGATCTGGGGGGCCTCAACTTTAGTAGTATATGTATATGGATCTCGGAACCGAATGGCATTCGGGATCCGAATTTTCGAATTGCATTCAGGAGCTCCGATCCGAATAGAATTTCAGATCTGAATCCCGAAATGACGAAATAACCAATCCTAATTTTTCCACAGCTTAGATGTCTATAGTCTAATTAGTTGGCTGCAATTTAAAGTTAAAGTAGAACTGGAGCCAAAATTTTTAAAAAACATTTTGGATAGAGTATGGGAGGATTTCAACCCTTCAGATTTTTGTTTTTTGCTGTGTCTCATTGGGGAGATTCATCTTTACTTCCAATCCAAAAGCAAGTTTGTGACAAAACATCAGATTTAGATCTTGTATCCAAAGGGCAGACAGAAAGCTGACAGATTCCATATCACCCCCATCTTAAAACAATCAGCTCAGCAGATCAAGTTGAATTTATAGTATTTGGAGCATCTGTAAGCCTCAAATGATGTCTAATTATTAAGTTAATTGTAAATGGCTACCGTAATAGCACATAGTACAGACTGGAAGAGCTCTCAATATTCAGTCATATTCCATAAATCTTGATCTGATACAATTATGGTCATAACCAGTGTCTACGCAAATGTATAAATAAATAACAATCTGTTTGATACCACACATGGCTATACTAATGGTACTTGCCTGACTGCATTGCGCCAAGAGTAAAGTTGGTGGAGGGGGGATTATGGTGTTGGGCTGTTTTTCAGGGGTTGGGCTTGGCCCCTAAGTTCCAGTGAAGGGAACTCTTAAGGCATCAGCATACCAAGACATTTTGGACAATTTCATGCTCCCAACTTTGTGGGAACAGTTTGGGGATGGCCCCTTCCTGTTCCAACATGAATGCGCACCAGTGCACAAAGCAAGGTCCATAAAGACATGGATGAGCGAGTTTGGGGTGGACGAACTTGACTGGCCTGCACAGAGTCCTGACCTCAACCAGATAGAACACCTTTGGGATGAATTAGAGCGGAGACTGCGAGCCCGGCCTTCTCGTCCAACATCAGTACCTGACCTCACAAATGTGCTTCTGGAAGAATGGTCAAACATTCCCATAGACACACTCCTAAACCTTGTGGATGCATTCCCAGAAGAGTTGAAGCTATTATAACAGCAAAGGGTGGGCCAACTCAATATTGAACCCTACGAACGAAGACTTGGATGCAATTAAAGTTCATGTGCGTGTAAAGGCAGGTGTCCCAATACTTTTGGCAACATAGTGTGTGTGTGCGTGTATATATATATATATATATATCTGCAAGGCATGTTAGGTTGGGTATTTTTTAAATGATTATTTTGTTCTGTGCAATAATATGTTAGTAGTAGGACTGTAAAACCATGTAATTGGCAAATATGAATACAGTTAGGGAAACTAGCATGGTGAGAGTGTCTGCTGAACTATTATGAAACATTCTGACACCCCCCTCAGCCCCCTCCTCAAACCCTTTGATTAGCCATGTCATTTCTGTAAACATCCTCCTCAGGGACCAGAAAAGATGATTGCATCTGTAGCTCGTGAGCTTTCTTTTTTCCACTGAAACTACGCACAAATGCTAAGATTCTTTTCTGAGGGCCAGTGACTCTGTTGGAACTAACGACCAGGCGACATTGTTAAGTACTTTTGATTCTTAATCCCATTTATTTGGCTGTTGCTTATTGTCTATTTTGTGATATCTTTTTCTGTACACCATTTTTTTAAACTTTTATTCCATTAAAACGATACCTAATAAAATTGCTAGGCTTGTACTCTAAATGCTCTAAATAAGAACTTAAAGAATCCTTCCCTTTTTGAAGAGTGTTGCCATATTTGAAACTTTGCTATATTGCTATCTGGATTGACAGTGAGTGTCACAGACATTACAAAATTGTTACAGCAGATGCTGTGAATGGTGTGTGTTTCCGATGGTGGCATCTATTGTTTGTGTGGATAAAGGGTTAACTGAGGAATTAACCAACCAACTCAGTGATAATCACCATCAATACACTGATACTAAGGGGCTGATGTATAAACATTACACTCAGCTTATAGCTGGGTGAATGCCTTTCACGCAGCATTTCCACCAGTCGTTGGAGCAGAGGAGCATTTTCCTATGCTCCTCAACTCCATCTAGTGGCGCGGATGCCATGCGAATGGCATTTGCCCAGCTATAAGCTATGCGAAATATTTATACATCAGCCCCTTAGAGTATTGTCCTGCAAGCTGGAAAATCGAGGGTGAGGCTGGGAGTTCCATTGTCACAGGAGGACCTTGAGGTCTGAGATGCTGAAAAAGATTGTTGAGGATTGAGTAGTTAGCTTGAAATTAAGGCTTAACAGCTAATTTCCTGCACTGTTTCCGCTCTCTTCCTTGACAACTTCTGTCCACAGCACTGGTCCCTAGTAATCCACGGACTATGCTGACAGCTACCTATCCTTGATTTAGACATATTTTTGTTAAGATTAATGACAATGGAGAGTAGGGTTGCCATTTGTCCAGAATTGACCCGGACAGTCCGAGTTTTGAATGCTGTGTCCGGGTTTCATGGCAATAGAAACCCGGACACAAGATGTCAGGCAGACAGGGGCACCCAAAATTAAGATAGGGGCTACTGGCACCCCACTCAACTGTGATATTTACATATGAATGGGTAGCACTATTTACATATGAATACGCCGCGACTCATTCTTCCAAAAAACATTCCGCGCTTGGCTAGTGTTCAGGTTTTGCTTGAAAAAAAGGTGGCGACCCTAATAGAGAGGTCACCAGGGGGCCCATCATAATTTTGCTGCCTGTGTGTACTCTCCCCTGGTCCTGCTCTAGCCCTCCATGATTGGTACCGTGGCTGGTTCAGGGCGAGGAACCACAGCATATGACAATTGCTCCAAAACTGCCGGCGCACTTTACCAGCCACTTCTGTTAGGAGGCTTCTTGCTCCAATCTTTGCTTTTAAGCTGAAAACTGTTCTAACTTGAAAACCCCAATAAAGTCTGACTGTCGCCTGAATGTGGCATTTGCAGGTGACATTTTCTAAAGGGTTTAGTGTTACCAGAGCTGCCTGGGTTCCACTTAATTGCCAGGCTGCTCCTCTGACTCCAGCAACTGCTGTCAGAAGCCCGGAATTAAAAATGTGATGTTCTGCAAACTTCCAGAGCGGAGCTGTGATTCTTCACTCAATTAAAGGAACTCTGACCTGATTTCAAGCTTTTCCCCTTATGAATTATTTATTAGGCTTAGAGGGAAACATAACAGAATTTGTACAGAGAGGTAGTCTGTACATTTTGTGACAACGCTTGATAAGCACGGCCCATTCCAAGCACCAGCAGTGTACTTGACGTCTTTTCATAGATGACCTTGCCACAGTACAGCTATGGCCGACTACCCTCATTTTTATGTACATTTCATTTTTTTTTACTTATCAGCCTATGAGATGTAAAAATGTTGTCTCTTTGCCCCTTCAATGATCATCCCGTTTGCTGTGCTCCCCATGTCTCCCCGCTTATCTGTTCATCCAGTATACCCAGGTATGGGGGAGCATGCAACCTCCTCCCCTTACTCCCAGCTAGCGTTGATGTTCCAATTTGGGTTGAATTGAAATTTGACCTAAATCTTCAGGCTGAAATTTTGATCCAATTTTTCGAGTTTGAATTTCAAAGCCATTAAGGGGCCATTTTTTTGA